AAAGCGTTGTGGCAGTTCCGGATAAATTAATTCGCGATGTTATCGCTGCTGTTATGTACGTGTATGCGTATATGTTTTATTATTTTACTACGTCTTGCGTGCTTAAAAGATAAGAATATTGTGAGATTATTTTAAGTGATAGAGATAATATTTTAACTTTGAGCTCCTATCAGTGCTCCTTAAAATTAATAGAATATTAATGATACTGATATTTCAATGTCATAAAATAAAGTGAATTTAAAAATTTTACATAAAATAAAATTAAATAAATTTAAATCAAAAAAAGATAAATATACAATTCGATAAACTGACCATCACGTAAATCACATTTAAAAGTAAATTTAATGTATTTATATGAAAAATAATCAAACTGTATAATAATATAAATTGTATTGTGTAACAATATAAAAGAGAGGAAACAATTGAATAATTAGATGTTACCTACAATTACTTTACGGACTTATTTAAAATCGTTGTCTACCTCAGAAATTTATTTTATTCACTCTGAATACAATAGCATCTTGTGAATAATGGCAATAAAAATTAATGCTTCGAGAAATGCATTTTCCTGGAAGCTGCACTTTCCCCCAAGAGGGTCCTTCCGTCATGATTGAATTACAAATAGCCGGGAATATCTCTCCCGGCGTGTAAATATTCATAGGCAGATGAATCTCTCGAGACATGTCTCGCGATGAGCGATGAAATTTCATTACGATATATCGACTGGTACATTAAGACGAATCTGATGCGGATATTCCGGACATCCGTAACGAAAGAAAGCGAACTTATTGTTGTCGTTTTCTTGTAACTGTACATCTTACAGTTTTATGGTAGCTGTTTAAAACCTCGCCACGTAAAAATAGAGAGCGTGAGAAATGATTAGAAAATAAGAAATTATTGCTCATAAATATTTTACACAAATGTATATAAAAATATAAGGTTTTTAATAAAATCTTATATTTTTACTTCTTTGAATTGTTCCTGATTTCGTGAAATTTAAATAATATAAGAAATCAAGTTGCACGCTCGCAAATCTTAATTTTTAATTTATTTAATTCCTTGTGATAAATACAAATTTTTATCGGCGAATCACGACGTAAATACGTCTAAAATCGATGCTGATCGCTCAGAAGCGCACGCACAGGAGACCGACGAAACTTGCTTTCTCACGTAACGTACGTTGAAATTGCCGATCATTAAGAGCATCCGGTCTCTGTAACGCCCGGCTCGAGTTTACGAGACCAGTTTCTGCATCCAAATCAATTTGCAAGGGCCGCATGGAGTGTCGTCGGTCCTTTTGCTCGTTTCGATTGCGATTAAGAAGGGATGCCGCGCATCTACAACGGATACACGCGTACACACATCGGTCAGCACATACATACCGCGACAATAACAGTGATTATAAATTTTTTAGAAAAATTAAGTAGCAATGCCATTTATATTTAATGTTCGAAACGGACGTATTTGTGGTAGATATATGATTTAATAGTATGTTACGCAGAAAGTAGTTTCGAAAAAGATTAAAATGCCTATACAGTTAGAGTTTAATTTGGATTCATAAACTTGATATATACGCGAGTGATTATACAATTGTAGAAGTCATTAAAACTTGCGTATACCTGTTGCAAATTTCGTCATTGATTACAGTTTGTGCGACTCGTTCAAATAATATCAAACTAGAAATTAAATACTCGCAAGTATAATTTCCTTTTCATCGTATTTCAGTGGAGATATATAAATTATCTCTCCTTTCGTTTAATTCCGTTGCAACACGTGTTGACGTTCCACCGTTTCGTTTCCGATCATCAGATTTCTCACAGTTGTGGAGAAAGCCTGAATGACAATTGGCCCTAGAGACCTAAAAGTTGAGCACCAGTGAGCGGCAGGACGTAACATTTGGTTCGCACGTGGCAAGAGCGGATAGTATCAACTAGCTTCATCCTTTCGCATGTATCAACTGTTGTGTTAAATGCATACCATATATCATTAACTTCCTTTTTGCTTCCTTTTTCGCGTGAACTGATGGAATTAATTTTCTCTTTTGCGCACTAATTCTATTTGCGATTTTATTTTAGGATCAATTTATGGGATCAAGATAATTAAAAAGTATATAATAAGATAAAATAATAATATAATATTAAAATTCTACACGCTGCGAAAAGATCGTAGGTAATATAAGCTTAAAATCTATTATTAAAGATTATCAATTTTTATAGAAAATCAGAATTGTAGAAAAACAAAAAGGTCATGTTTCATGGACAAAAATAGTCAGAATAATATAGCAATGTTAATAAATAAAAAATAAAAAAATATGTTGTAATTAAACTGAAGTTAATATAAAAATTGTTTTATAAATAAATAATTTATATTCAGCAGATTTTTTATTCTCTATTCATTTATCTTTAGTTATTTTCTTTTTTTTTTAGTTTATTTTTGTCCTTCCAGAACGAGTGAATAAAAAATCCTAAAAATATCAATAACCTAAAATATCTGATCTTTTATAACTTTGAAAAACATTGTGCTCTACAGAAAACTTGCGGTGTCCTGTAAACAGTTGTTTTAAGAGTCTTTCAAGAGCTCCGAAGACCACCCACGTGTGTCTTGTGTTACACGCATTGTCGTCTCTCCGTCGCAGATTTTGCACGGCTTGACTCGCGCGCGGATACAAGAGAGAAAAAAAGAAATAAAAGTCCTTGGAAAGATCAAGGTTAATATGTTTTGTAAGCCCTTTTAAGGGATTGATTTGGCTAAACTGATGTTAAAATCTTCGGAAAGCTTGTTGCTTCATGTAGAACAAGTAAATATAGGATAAAGTAAACGTAGTATAATATATTATATGATCCAATCTCTAGAATCTATAATTGTTTAATTATTGTTTTAAAATCCTTGTAAATTACCAATAAAAATTGATTTATTATAATCCTATTATATTATTTATTATACTTGAATAATGTCTATTAAAATTTATGTCACAGTACCTTAGTTTTGTGTGAAATTCTATATATCATTACTTTTGTTATTTTTTAAAAGAAACATGACCTTTTTTTTAAAATTCTACACAACGGTTTGCTCTCTCGATTTTATACATCGAATTCAGATTTTCCCATGGATCAGTGCTGCCTCGATCATTTTACAAGAATAACATGCTATTTTAGCAAACAATATCTGTTTACTAAATGGGCATGTAATTTAATACAGGAATGTAATGGAATCCTTTTTTTTTTATTTATATAAAAGTGCATCGCAACGCGATCGCAAATGTTCACGCTTCCCTTCCACCCTCTCTTCCTTCCCGTTGTATTTTCATCCTGTCACGTATATCAAATGCATCCCGTTGAACGATCGGCGACATTCGCAAATAACCGAGTAGGAAATGGAAACCCCATGCGGATGCATACCTGCCGGATGCATATTCCGCGTTACCTTTTGTTCGCGCGCGAGCACCCAGTCCACCCTCAAATTATCGACGGCGCCCGGCTTTCATTCGCATAAAGATCGCGGGAGTCGTTAAAATGCATGGGAATCCGGTACGAACGCGCCGGTGTAATGCGCGGGTACGACATATGCACGGGTATTATTTTAACCCTTCGCACACTCGGTGAATGCCGAGTGAGCGTACGGCCTCGAGCGTATACTTTTGCACGTGTACCATTTGCGACCAATGCTTACAAAAAAAAAGCACACAATTCTCCAACAAATCATTAATTATTTTACATAAATGTCTGCGTATACCTGTCTAAATGTCTCAATCACTCAATTGTTACATCTAATATAACCGTCATTTATTTCTACAAATAAATAGCAGACGAAAATGGCCTTCGCAAGAGCGTACGTTTCAACTTCTCTTTCACAATCGCACCGATTGCACCGATCACCAGTAAGGACACTCCAACCGTCGTAATCTAGAAGTGTGCATCTGCGGTACCTACTGCGAGCGAACAAGAGACCAGGCGATATTTCGCAGAGACGCTCGAATGTCACCGAAGCATCAATCCAGAGGCGCCGTGCGGAAAATCAAGATAGATGTTCCATTAAAATCGCATTGCCACAGCGGACAGATCTGACGCCGCCTATATCGGCTGTCACGTCCTCCGAAGGAGCACAGGGATTGCATTCATAAAAATCGCTGCAGTGGTCTCGCCGTGGTCCTCATATGGCGATGACGCGCCATTGCCGTATCGATTCCGTGCCGTTTCCATCGGCTTTTTATCTCCTTTGAGATCTCTCTCTTTCTCTCTCTCACTCTCTTCTCTCAGCCGTTCTTATCCTGCTTCTACTCGCCCGCATTCCTTCGGAGTAACTTAATACGGTGTTAAACGACTTGTATCGATTTTATCTTACATTTTGAATTTGTCGATATCGATACTGTACTCTATAATGATAAATAATAGAAAACTCAATATACCTACCACATGTCTCGACATCGCTAAAAATCTATATAATGGGTACATGCAGGATAATTTGAAACTATCGTGATCAGTTACGGCCGTAATATTTGTGTGTGCCTCTTTCAGAGTGTATTAAATATTTAAGAAACCTTCAAACTGAAACTACAAAGATCCAAATATTAAATTAAAATAAGATATATAAAACATAAGAGGATATTTAATATTGATGTCAAAAGTCTTTATGCATATTTTTGTAATACGATGCATTTCGTATGCATTAATTGTTCTTGAAGCATTAATATTTACGCCGTGTCCACAAGAAGATTGCACTTAATTGCTCAGCGATGAGAGAAGTCTGTACGATTTACGCGTTATCTTTTTTTACACGCGTTTTGGAACGGCGGAGAAGCAGCAACGTCTCGAGAGTTCTCAAGTGGCGCGCGTACCTTTTACGGGCAGTTTCCGTACGTGATTCGTTACTTTAAGATTGTGCGCATCTTATCCGCACGAAGAAGTTTCGTAGAAACAAGCGAGTGGTCTGTTCAGAATTCCGGAAGTTTCCCGGGTCCGATCCTCGGTCATGAGGACCATGGCGGACCGTTGATAACCAAGCACTTCTGTGCCTGGTCGTCTCTGGTTTCAAAGTGCGGCCTGCCGCCGTTATTTTTTTCAAGCCTCGGGGAAACCTTGCCGAGAAGGTACAAGTGCACCATACAAGCACGGTTACTATAGGAATTTGAATGACTCACTTGCAAGGATCATCATTCTTCCGAACAGACGTATCCGGCTCATTCATAATTTTTCGTACTGCAACCGTTGGGAAACGCGAGCAGTTTCGAAAAGTAACGAGACGTTCAGGCAGAGAAGCGCATTAGCTCGATAATAATAATTAATCCGCAGATATACTTGTTTTCGGTTACTTTGGTTCTCACCATCGAGACACCAAGTTTACTTCGCTCGCCGTATATAGAGTTAATTACGTCATCCAATTCCAAATATATTTTATACTTTTAATTTTAATTCCAGGATTTAATCATCTTGTAATTTAAGGCAAAACATATAAAATTTTTAATACATAATGAATTTTTACAATATCTTTCTCATAAAGATTATATACATATATCTCGTAACGCAAATAAGAAGTTTACCTTGAAATATATAGTCACAGCAGACTGAAAATAAATAATATAAAATGTAATCTTCATAAAAACTTCATTAACAATATTTAACTTCTTGTATTATAATTCTCAGCGCTAGATTCATGAAGCCGTGTTGTAATAAATGCAGAATTTTTAATCTGTTTATAAAAGATCGTGTATTTATTTCCACGTTTCTTTATGTCAGTGTGAACAGAAATTCTTAGAGATTTATTTACATTGCTGTTGACATTTTCTTAAATACTAAACTCGATGGAAACTATGGTTAAAGTGCACTTTACTATATTAAATGAAAGAGAGATGAAAACACAATGAGGAGTAACAATGAAAGCTTTCAGCAAAACATCATGTCGCTGATCTTTCTCGAGAGAATCTTTCATAAAGCCGAATATAATTTGCATAATGCGCATAAATAACTGAGCACTCATTAAATGATTACATTAGCCCGCAAACTAACCAAAATTAAACAAACCACAGGCATTCCATGGTAGGGGGGNGGGGGGGGGAGATATCCACTATAATGCAATTTCGCTCCGAAATAGAATTTCCGGTTAATTGAACCCTCACGCTTCCGGCAAGGAGATCGACGAGTCGTGAAATCGAAAGATATCGATGGATAATTCGATAGAATTCCCGCGATAGGCGAGAATAACGATATCCTGAATAACGAAACTTCCTCAAACATATTGCACGCTACGATTTTATATTCTACGATTTCTAGTAAACATATTTTAAAATTATTCGGAAAAAGAAAAACACTTTTTTAAATAAAATCCTGTTCGAAATACCTATGATTACATGATATTTTTTTGCCATTAATCACATCGATGGAAAATAAAAATTCAGAAAACATATACTGGAAAATTTCGTTGGCACAATATGTCATGTTTGTCCATGTCATTTAATTACAAACAATAAATAGATAAAAACATGGAAGAAAAATTTAAAAAGACCGAATTTATTAATTATCAATTAATTAAAATAATATTCTTTTTTTGAGATTAATAAGTAAGAAAAAATGGTTAGCAAATATTACGGATTGCAGAATTTATGAACCCAAATATCCATATTATACTCAGTAACAATGAAACCGTTACAAAGCAAATATGATGTCGTGGTCCGATTAATTTTAATTTAAATGCCATTGCCATGCATAATAATAATTCGCATGTCGGGGAAATTTGCGATGCAGAATGATGAAAACAGATCATTATTCATTTATCAGTGCACATGTAATGGTTAGAATTTAATTGATCGGAACTATATGTATAAGCGATTTCGATACAATGTTCATGATATTTGAATTTACAAACGCGACAGAATATCGAGAACGATTTTTTTTTAAGAGGAGATTAGTGTTTTAGGAAAATTTGGAATCTTCAGAAAGAAGCCGAAACACACACTATCAAGTTACGTCGAAATTCTGAAAATAGAGTATTAATTTTTTTACGGAAAAAAATGTATTTTTTCGATGAAAATATCTCACGGAACATTGAAAGAACATTCACTGATGGTGTATAGTAATTCCGTTGAAGAATACCGCCTGGAGGAGATTAACGATGTCGCGTATACTTCAATCGTATATTTTTCCACGCGATATTCACGAATAGTAAATATTATAATAACAGACTCAGAATTCAGGTTAACACTCGTGGAGCAGCGTAGAATACATTGGTCATACGCGCGGCAATAAATACTTTCGAGTCGGCGAGAAGAGAAAGAGATTGCAGCTGGTAAGCGTCCAACTGTTGAGTCGGACCGTATATATGTAAGTCGGCGAAAGACTTTTGAGGTTTTACGGCCGGTATGTAATATACATACGTATATCGTATATGCTGCGGGAACTTAGCGGTAAGTCGATGAATGCTACCGAGAAGATCGTTATTCCTCGGCCGTATTAACTATTGAAATTTCATTTTATAACGGCAAATTGTCACTTCCCGATGATTCATGAGTTATTTAATAGTGATGTCAAGTGTTATGAAATTATATCCCGTTATCCATATCTTGTAATAATGTATAATATAATTTGTAGATACGGTTATATATATATATATATATATATATATATATATATATAATTAAGAATGTATTCCATTGTTATCTTAAAAAAAATCAAAAAGTTGACTTTAAGCAAAAAATATACATTTCTAATATATTTAATGTAAAATAGAATAAAGAATAGAATTTATTAATAAAGCTATAAAATTATATATATACATGATAAATAGAGGGAGGGAGCAAAAATTTAAAACAGTAAACGAGTTTTTATATTTTTTACAAATATAGTAATGTTTTTCTACGAATAAAGTTATTCTATAATCCTTTTATTCCTGAGAATCTAAAAATACAGAGGAATAAAAATACGACTTCTAGGTACTGAAAAATTTGTATTATGTACGTTTTTATCTTTCAACGCCATCGAAATATACATGCGCAGTAAACATTATATGTGAAACGGACGACTATACTGCATGCAAAAAAAGTTCGCTGAAGTTCCACGGATAATCCTCGTTCTTTCACACCGTGCATCCATTCTTCTCATTAATATTCCAATCAGTCGTCAGCACGCCGCATTCACGCTTGATATCGATCAGATTCTTTTCTACTGGCGACGCACACCGTGGCTTCGAATATCAACGAAACGACGCACCATCGATAACCAACGAGGGGACTTAGGCCGTCTACGAGAAGATATTAACTCGCGGCTACGGTTATGGTTACTCGCCTCGATAAGATCAATTTAATCGCTAAAGCAAACGATCGCGGCGTATTTATAGTATAAAAAAAATATCAACTTTCATCTTCTCGCGTGACCGAGAATTTCACGCGCGCCAATCTCCACAGCGAGGGCCCGATCTCTAGCGCGGATCTCGAATATTGTCCATCCTGTCACTGTCATGCGTCAAATATTAAATCTGTTCATTTAAAATCACTCGTGTGACACGTACAACCGCGTCGTGGCGCGTTGATGGTGTTCAAATTCAACTAAATAGTAACACATTTTAATTATTTTCTGAATTTATGTTAAGAAGCGGTAAAAGATTAGTTTAATTACAGTTTTTTTTATTTAATATCATTTTTACTGGTGATAATATTTATTTGTAATAAAATCAACAAATGTAACTGCGCTTTTATATATCAACTCGCAATTACGTCACGTGCATTATTCACGGCGAAAAAATATCTCGAATGATCCTACGCACCGCACCTCCACGTAGGGGCGTAAACACATTATAATTCTTTAACGTCGAGACACCGGCAGTAATTTATCGAGATAGCACCACGAAGAGAGCGAAGAAGGAGAGTCAGATAAAAATACCGGCAAACGGCAACGCGTAGGCCCCACGTCCTCTAAATTGTTGTTGCATCGATACAATTGATTATCCGAACTTGGCGAAACAATTGAGGCATATAACGATAAATCCTCGATAAAATTGAAAGCAGAACGTTTCCATCGTTAAGTTAAAGAAATATGATGATCGTGAAGACGATGGTGCGATGAAATATTAACTAGACTATTAAGTGCAATCAAGAGGCTGCAGATGAATAAAATATGTAGGCGTTGCGAAATCAATTTAAAGTCAATTTCGAACTTTCAATTATAGAAGCCATTATTTACGCTTGACAATAATTAAACCAAGGATTAATTTCGGAATTGTCCACAAGCCACGAGGTATCGTCGATAGGCTAACGCCTGCCAGCTATCGTGCTTCCAAATAATCGATATCGCCGTGCAGTTTATTTTACGATTGCTGTCAAAACCAAAGGAAGACATTAAAGAAAATATCGCGTCCACGAATAATGGTCGGCCGTATCTCGCTGCGCCGCCGTATAATATGAACCCTTGCGCGAGTTACGACCGGCCATCCTGTCCGGGTGAGCAGCCTGAGTCAACAGTAAGGGTGTGTACACGTGGTCCCCGGGGTTAATCTACTCCCCCTTCGCCCGCCCGCAGTGCGCTCGCCCCCTCGTAGCTGATTTCCGCGAGGAATTATTCTCGTTTCGCCGCCCTGCAGGCGAAACATGGTGTTCCGACTGATGTTCGAGAAAGTCAATAAGTAAATACATGTCTCAGCTTGTCCTTCCCCCGTGAAAATGGAGGATTTAAAGTAAACTCTGATCAGTTTGCCGCCGATAAATTTAAATAAGGTAATAAAATTACAATACTGATTAACTAACGTAGAAAATGAGGCTCTTCTTCGAAAAGATGTCGGAAACGCAGATCACAAAGCGCCGCAGAAAACGGGTGCATCGCGTGCGTTAACAAGAACGACAAATTGCCCCCCGTGGCAGATTGCAGTTCTTTCTTTCACGTCGCACACCGTTCTTCGCGGAAGGAAAGAGATTTCAATTTCTCATCCTTTTATGTACGTCGACCATTCGATACGGCCATCCAAGCGGGTCAGGCAACCGGCCAGAATGGCAACATTCGTTGCCTCTTTTCGAGGCGATTCGCAAAGGTACTCGGCCGAAATTACGTCCCGTGGAAAACCTTCCCACGACTCTTACGTCGGGCTTTCTCAGGACATTTAAAGGGCTCTGGATGCTTTTAGATATCCAATCTCTGCCGTTAAACGGTTCATCGAAGAACGTTAAAGAATTTTCTCCTTATACAGTTATCACATCCTAAGGAAATAGAACTAATTGTAAGAATCAAGATTTCAAACTGCGCTAACTCAAACATTGCAAATATCCAGGAAAAAGAAAAATCTATTTTATTTGTACATAAAAAATCTATATTTAACTTCTTTATTTTTTATCTACACACGAAAAGAACGATTTTGTTGAATTTGATGAATGAAACCTAAAAATTTTGTTAAAAATAGATCTGAAAATAATTTGTTGAAATGTTAAAACTGATAAGTATTGCTATAAAACGTTTTGATATTCTAGCAATCATTTTGACTTTCGCACAAAATAATTTTAACTATTGAGCAAAAATTATTTTCAGATCTGGATTCAGCAAAATTGTTCTTTCCGTGCAGCTTTCTTGTATGTTGTTCACACTAGAAAAACTTTTTCAAGATAAAAAATTATTTTTATCTCAGTTATATTAAAACAAAATTATATATAGTACAGATTTATGATAGTTAACAAGATTTCTAGATTAAAGATATATTTGCAATATATGTAATTCTGTCTTTTAAAGTAGGCTTTTAAAGTTGGGAATTTGTATGATTTTCAGTTTATATATATTTCGATTCTTTCAAAATCATACATTAAACTAGAAATAAAAATAACAAAGAATTAAAGAAATAAGTAAAGATTCTCATAGGACGAATAAAATACCTATATTGAGTTTATCAAAGCGAATGGAAACGATTCATCGAGCAATATTTATCAAACACTATGTGACGCGACTGATCTTAGGACACACACACATTAATGATAAGATTAGATAATTCAGAAGAGTTATTTATCCAGGCGTGGATCGATATTAGAGATACATCATGGTACGAAATAAAGTCTGACAGTTTGTACTAAAAGCAGTGGTTAAACTGATAGTATAATATCAATAGATAATATTTAAAGTTATAATGATGTGTAACTTCATCATTTTAGTTATAAATGTACAAAAAATATAGAATGAGTAAAAAATGTGGTAAGTAAAGTATCTAATTGAATAATAACTTCCCACTAAATTTATATGGATAATATCGTAAAATGCTATATAATTCGATTCTGATATGATATGCAATGAGATTGATCTCTTCTTAGATTCTTTGATCATATTTTGATTGTGCATGAAAAATCTACTTTGTAAAACAAAATCCGTGTAACCAGAAACGTGATAATCTCGAGTAGATGGTTGTACGGCTGAGAAAGCACGAGACTCACAAACGTAATTTGCATGTAGAAAAATTATTCGCAAGAAGAGATACGCGACGCGTGCGTGTGGCAATAAACTAGTTTCCACGACAAACCTCGGGACGGCGACTTCAAAGTATAACTAGGGAAGTGAAATAGAAACGCGAGAAAAAGAAGAGCGTCGTGGAAAGAAGAAGGAAGAAAGAAACGAAGGAAGGAGTAGAGCGTGAACGCGGCGTGCCTGGCACGAACATTCCGCTTGGAAACCCTACGCGCAGAATGTAGCTGTAACGATGACTTAAAGCAACTCCTAGTAAGCATACAGACGAGGCGAGTGGATTAACTTGATCGCCGCGTGAGGAATGAAGTAATAAAATTACTTGACACACTAGGGGAAGGGTACCTGCTGAAAAAAAGAACTGAATGACTATGCTCAATTAAGTATTCAAATTGAGTTAGCTATTATCTTGTCACTGTGATATCAAGAATAAATATAAATTTTAATAACGATTTTGATATTAATTTATACCGAGACTTTTTCTCAATATGAATACATTGATATAATTAATTGAACTATTATACGTATATTATTATATAAACGTGTAGCATTAAAATGCCAAACGTGCAATTAATCTTGATTCTTAAGATCTTTTGGAACCTTATTAGTAAATTAGCTTCAAGTAATTTCTTATAATTTGTCATTTAAATTACCTCAATAAAAAGTATAAATTAATATTCAAAAGAGAGATTAAATAAAATTAAGATCAAACCGTTTTGTTTTTCGATAGACATCGCTTGTATTCTAGTTAAAATTCAAAGCTTTCGCGTACGCTATTCAATCTATTTATGCATGCTTCGGTAATGTAAAATATGCTAACAACTGTTAACTGTCCGCCAAGGGCTCGTTACTGCCCAACTTAGATTATTTTAATGAGAGATTTACAACGACGCTGTAGCAGATGTCAGGACTCGACGAGGAGACAAGCGGGCAATTAAACCAGACGCGAGTTCCCTCGGATCTCCGTTTTCCGCTCTTACGAGATTTTAAACCGGAGGGGTGTTACAACCCTCCGCCATCGCGGCATGATCGCCCCTGTCTACGAAAGATTAGATTCTGCCTAGAGGGTGGAAACTCCCAGAATCTGCTGCAACGTCGCTCGTTGATGGAATTCACGTCGGCTCGTTCCACCCTCGCGTCAACGAGAAAATATTGTTTTCCTGCTTTCTTTTCCTTCTCTCCCGCGAATGCAGAAATATCGGCAAATTAAGTTTTATAATTTCTCTCTCGATTGCGCTTCCCTGGATTCACTTCACGCATGAAGTTGCAATGTCCTCGACTATAGACTGGTATTGACTTTCAATAATATTGATTATTATTGAAAGAATTGAAGCGGGATGATATTGATTCAGTGATAGCCATTTATATAAGTTAAAGAATGAATTATTTTTGCGGTCGATGTTGACTTTTTCATTATTTTTATTACATGCTAGTATATTTGATTTAATAAGAGAAGCGGGGAATAAATAGAGATTGGAACGAATCGAAACTTACAAGGTTCGTTTACGTCCCTTCCAGGATGTCGCACATGATGGTTATGAGTCATACGGAAAATGGATTTTATATCGTTTCAAGTGAAAACGAATCGTTTCATTGCGAAAGAGGAAGTAATGATTATTGAATTTGTATGAAGATCCTTGATTTAATGCGGGTTACGGAACACGAGTACTTCCTGGTTCGGCTCACGAAGGCCAAATTAGTTTCACCCACATCTGACGAATGTTTCGTCATTTAACCCACGACCTATCGCCGCTATGGCCGTGGGATGATGACTCGTCATGGGATCTATCATGTTATAGCCGAATTATCTCTGGTTTGATTAATTGATCTTCAGATCTGAAAATGCTCTTATACTGATTCGATTTAAGCTAATAAATAACAAAATTTCGAGGAATATGTGTAAGATATTTCAATCATTCAAATACGGATTGTTTCTTACATGCATGGGTATTAATTTTATATATTTATTAATTTATACACATATATTTTTTTCTAAGCCTTACTAATTTTGTCTTTATATATTACTAGTAGTTAATCTTACTTTTTTACAAGAATATTTTATTCAACGAATCAATTTTATATAAGTATCTCGGATGTTACTAAAATCGAATAATATTTCGTGTTATAGATATAAAAATGATCATGTCCCGAAGGGATTTGAATAATAGGAATAAAAACAACGCTCAAAGACTCTTACACGAGATGCAACTGAAATAAATTACGCCATTTCATTGTCCATAATTTATCCCTTCCTATTATTCTTTTTAAGGAGGATAAAGAGGATGAGAGAGGTAAAAGCAAGTCCTTTAGAGTCCATTTTGAACAATCGCGCCGCTGCTGGTGGTCCGGGCCGACTGAAATAAATACGGATTCCGGACAGTTTCCCCTCAGAAAAAACCCGAACAAAACGTTTATAAAGGTCGCAGGAAGTTGTAAGAAGAGTTAGATTACTTCCCGAGAGGTTTATCGACCATGGTCGACCATTACATAACTCCGATAATACCAATATGTGTGAAATTCTGACCTCATTCCTATAGTAAATAACTCTGAAGCCTCCTCCGGATTTTCCTCACTTTGCTATGCAATTATAAAATGCATTTAATATAAATGCATTATTTTAAATAGTACTCCAATAAATTTTTAAAAAGAAAATCTGTCACTTTGTTAAATTTCCATCTCTGTGAAACCTATAACATTCCTATATTTAAAAAAATGAGCACTTAATTATGACATATATAGTCCAACTTTTTCTTACTGATGGGAGTGCTAGATTTACAGAGATTTTCCCTAAAATCTTTCTTTTCAAGAAAATTTGCGTAATTTGATACAGAATTTCAAGCGCTGAGAGACCAAAGATTTTCTAAATTAAGATTAAATATATCTAAGGAAAACGAGATTTCAAATTGAATAGAAAATTTATTTTGTACTCAGATACGAGACTCTGTAATAAATTAAATCGACTCTTGTTTATTTCGCACCGCCGCGCTTTATCGTAACGATAATCCGAAATATAGGTATTCACGTGTAAACGCTTTATTTATGTGCGGTATTAATTCCCACTGAATTTTTGCAGTGGTAAGGAAGATTTTGCAGAAGAAAATGAAATACGAGCGAAGATATGATGATCGCGGAGCGCGAAGGCAGCAGCAAAGTGAAGAAAAAGCAGCACCGCCCGCGGCAGGTAAACCGCGCACCTGCTCTATATAACGTAAGATGCGTCAAACTCGACAATGAAGTCTCTTTGAATGGTCAGAGAAAAAAAAGCTGGTGGACGAAAGAGGCTGAGCTCGAATAATCTGTCGGGTTTCTCGCGCATCACGATCTTCTACATGATGCTTCAAGAAGAATCTGCCGGAAGACCGGTTATAAAACCGTAGCTGAAAATCGAAAGAATTTTACGATTCCGATTATTATTATTAAATATCATACTTTCAGATCAGCAAAATTCTCAGGGAAAACACTTTTTACATAACTAAAGCAAATGTGAAAAGTAGCAATTAAATAAAAAGTAAATATAAAATATATAAAATAGAATATTTAATATTTTTATGTATAATATTAATTCGAGTCTCAAGATTTTTAAAGTATATCAATCATCAATTTCAGAATTATCTATAGTTTCCAAGATTCTTGAATATTTTTGTGACGATTAATGAAAAACATTTGACGAAGTGTACAGTGTCGCATATTTATAGCGAGATTTTTTGCATTGTCCTGAGGTGAACGCTCGTCTCATTTACATCGTAAAACCTCACGCGACACGCAACGGCACATGTCCGTATTAATTCCACCGCTTGAACGTTCCCTCGCGAAACCCGTCAGCGTTTTTTTCGGATCGCGAACTATCCGCTTGGCGAAATATAATTAATTGCGCGCCGCGTTTATCGCGTGCTGATGCGCTAACGAGAATCCGCGTGCCGGAATACAGCGCGAAATCACGACGTATCGCAAATTCCGATCGAAGGCGGGCCGAAGAAGCGGAGCCCGCGTGAACAACGCGGTATTTAAGACGTAGCGCAATCAGATTCCACGCGAATACGGTTCTTCGTCTCAAAGAACTCTCGCACGAAAGAGCCGCCCTGCGCCGGCCGATAGCTGAGAAATATGCCTTGAAAAGGTAGCGTGTCGAGCCAAAGGAGGCGTGGATGCTCGCGTGTGGATCCTGAAGACCGTGGGAATCGTTACAGATTATCCTGCATATATGTATCGCCCGGCGTGTCCTGAATGTAGGTGGATCAATAACCCGACAGATTGCAGTCCTTGTACCAATAGCTCGTGACAGGCACGTCGATGTATAAGCGAACACATATAGTAAAACAATGTACGTAACAATTTAAATAAATCGAAGCAAATCAATCTAATCTCCAAAACATTATATTTTTAACGAATATATCTTAATTGTAATATAAATTTATACTGAAAGCTATATATAATAGCGTAAAGAACAATGTAAATACATTTTTCACGTCAATGGAAAAGTGGAGTCTTTCTTCGAGAAATGCTTGTAAAACATAACTATACTCTAATTGTAACCGCTCTCATCTCCAGTGTTCTACATTTCTTTAAACAAGAACTTTAAACAAGGCTGTCCTCGAAACAAATGTGTAACCGTGAAAGACGGCGTGCATGAACGCATTGGAAATCCAGCGCGATTTACTATTGAAGGGAATACGAGACCAGGGGTCTCGACCGTACAAGAAACCGTCGTTACGCAATCCATTGTCTATCTTCATCGAGGACAGTTAGCGACAGTTGTGATAGAGCGGACTGCACAGTCTGACAACTTGTTGCTAACGAAACGCGGAACGAACACGCTCAACGAAACAGCAAGAACAATCGATCGGCTGTCAAGATTTCTCACGGAAACCGGCGCAACGAGATTTTCCAGTCAAGGCTCTTGATAAACCTCCCATCGGAAACTGGACGATTACGCACCACCACTTATACAAGCCATATTTCCTTGAGTGATTATGCGATTAAAAACGTACTTGATAAATACTGCAAATATGTACAGATGTGTATCGAAATCGCTAAGGTCGAATGCGCGTGCGTGCGGATTTCAGCGAATCGGAGTACGGAGGTTCGATTTAATAGAATCTCTCCGATATGATATTGATCAGTCGTGACAATCCAATGGCTATCTTTCGATTAAAACTCTGCTATCAACTGCACAAGTGTCGATATTGGTTTTAAAAGATCTGTACGTGTTTCTTTTCTCTCTCTCTGTCTCTCCCTTCCTCTTTAAAACGCGATCAAAAGGATTTACGACGACATAAATGTCGTCCGCGAGCTTTGTATGAAATAGCATAATTGAATATCGCGGTTATTATAATTTAATTGCGTGGACACGAGAATATCGATGTTGCAATTGTCCTTTTTTTTCAAGCTATCTGCTTTTATATAAGTTACGGAAATATATGTCGATTTTCTCTTTCTTGGAAATGTGTGCGGATATTTTCGACTGCTGTTGATACTCTTAATATTTAAAAAGTTGCACACGAGAAAGAAATCGGAAAGGGTGGCTTCGGAGCATATCTACGTTGCTGATATGCCCCCAGACCGATCGATCGCAGCTTTCTCTCCAGCTACCCTCCACCTGCGGGGTCTTTGCCACTTTGGTCAATGTCACGACAGGGTGAAAATCCGCTCATGTTTTCTGCCAAAATAACGAAAAGATATGCGAATAGGTACATATCACACGATATTACGAGATTTCTCATGTTTCTCTGTTTGTTACACAATCAATTCGCAAATACAAAGACATATGTAATGTGTTTATCTGTAAAAAACTGTCTAAATAATAAATAAAAATTTAGAAAGGCGAATATGATACATATTTAGATATTTGTATTAATAAAAAGTAAATCATTAAAGTGATTCTATTATTTGACAGTGTATCTTTAATCCTTTCATTAATTCCTATTTATTTTTATAGTTCTGCTTCTGAACTATTGGTCTTTTTTATTATATATCAATTTGTTTCTTAATATGTGACTTTTTACAATGTTTCGGAGATACTTTAAATAAAACGTTTCCATGAAAAACTATGGAACTCATTACTGAACGTATCAGTTTACTCCCGTTTCGCGAACGCGAGGTCTGCGTGCCGATTGACCAACATATATTTACGCCCCACTCACGGTGACCATAAAAAGTGAGGGGAAGGGGGAGAATCGGCGAATCCCCCTCGTTCTTCGTCTTGACTCCGGAATCGACACACTCACCTTTCTCCAATGAGCGGCAGATAACCACGAGTGCAGCTAACGGTAAATTAAATCGCATTAAAATACGCGGAGGAGCGGGTGGTGGAGGAGGCTTTTAACTGTCGGAGCACGGGGCACTCCCGCCCCTAATTACGCCACTGTCGACCGCGAAATCTCATTAAACCACCGGCCGATGGTTTCTTAAGAAGAAACCACCTTTTCGAGCCTTAAGCCACTACATCATTCGCTCTTTTTTTCTTTTTTTTCAAACTAATTGTGGTGTAGCCGTAAGGAAAGCAAGACTTTTTAATATGTATAACACCTGAAATTATTGTGTTAAAGTCATCAGAGAGTTGATACGATATTATTAAATAAATTCAGAAAATTTTGCACAAACTGGACATATTAATCGTCTTATTAAAGTGAACGGAATATGTGATTGACAGCAAAGCAATTGAATTATTTAAAAACGTACGTTTAATTGATCTTGTTAAAAATATCTTTTATATCCAAGAGTTTTATGAAAACGATATTTTAAAATTCGATAAAAACAATTAAAAAATATTTTTCTTGTATACATTTTTCCATTATTTTTATATATTTCTTGCTTGTTCATTTTAGCTTTTCCCACTCAATATTATTCAATATTATTCAATATGCAATATTAGCGCTCTTTCGATTCTGCAACACCAGATTTTTCCAATACATTCCAATTCTGTAGAATCCGATTTCAACGTGAATAAATGGCGCAATAAAGTGTTTTACGTACTCCGACGCGGGTGTCAAGCTATTTCTGCAAGCATCGCGTTATTCAAAGACGGACAATAAACACAGAACAAAGAGCAAGGTAATGAAATCTCGCCGCTGCATGCGGCGTTCGATGCATGGCGACCACGAGCAGCGGTTATAACTAGTTACACAACCTTTTCTCACGTAAGTGCGCCGGCTGTCGCTGATACTCTAATCGCATCGGATTATTTAGAGTTAATATACGACTCTGAGAGAGTCTTGCCCCGCGCGCCGAGATCTAGGTAGCCGTCGATCTAATTAGAATGAAAGATCGACAATTAATCCAGGATACGCGGAAAGCGACAGCGCGTCAGGCTACTTTGTACGACACGATATAATTACCGTGGCGACGATTTAGATAGCGCGCTCCAATTTATTAATCCAAAAGACTCCCGCGTGCTTAAGCGTTTAATAAATTAAATCCCCCTTGAATGTGTACAACGTGAGCCGCAAATCTAATTATAACGATCGCCGTAGTTACGCTTCGGCACGCTACAAAATCGCTTCTACCTTGATTTGCATAACTAGACTTTACGATTTATTATTTGCTAACGTGCGAGACGATCGGAATGCGATCGCTCGAATTTTTCAGTAACATCAATTTCCAAACGTGATTTTATCCGCTCGGAGTAATATACTTTCTTTCAATAAAGAAAAGACAAGATTGCATTTTTCCTCTTTTGATAAAGTTAACCCACTTTTACGAGATTTTTATCCTTTTTTCTTTTTCTCCTCTCTATTATCATAAAAGCGTATTAGTTCATGAGAGATAAAAGGCAAAGAGGATGATCAAAGGGCTTCGGCTTCGATTATGAAGCAAATACGCTACTCCGGGATTTCTAATTAAAATTTCCGAAGTTAAATTTTAGAGCGGGACGATTTTGCTCCGCCTTAATAATCCACGATACGATATGACGATCCGATATGACGATCGATCGATCATTATCACGAGTCATAGATGAGCGTACCTATTACGATGACCTTACGCGGCATGGCTATAATCAAGGGATCGTTTATGTTATTAGGAAGCGCATAGTCGACTGGATTACGGGCGCGAGTAATCTTTCAAAAAATCTTGTCAAGCGTAACGCATCCCGTTTAAACTGGTTTCAAAATGATAAAAATGCGTACGGCCAGGTACATTCAAGAGCCAAAGCTGGATATTTGAGTTTCCGCGCGAGATAGTTTCAACTAGTTAGATAATAAAAGATACATAAATATGTCGGAGATAATCACAAAATACGATACTAGCCGTTATACTTTCACAATCATTGAGACCATCCGCATAATTATAGATTTAATCAAGTTTTAATTACTGACAAAAATTATGTATTATACAATGGAATATCTCTCGTCAGGATATATATTCGCTTTTTGCAAATATTTAATTAAGTTAATTTAATTATATGTATAAATTTTCGGATATTCGAATTATCGCATTTGAAGATAACTGCACATTTCTTAATATTTCTATATAACTCGATTCATAAAAAAAATTGATGTAACAGGTGTATACATTTTAATTTTTTAAAAATGATTTTTTTTTATTTACGGAAAAACATATGGAGTTAAATTTCTTGGGACGAGAACGTTTTTTTTTAATATCCGCCTAATTTTGGAGATTCACATAGTCCACGATATTGGATACTACACCTGACGGTGTACCTGGAAGTTTAACGATAGCATCAACGCGTAACGTGATCATCATCATCACGAAACACCGTGGAAGACGTATTAAATCTGCAATCATTAAATTCCCTGTTCTCCGTTTTCCTAACGGTGCAAACGACCCTGGATTTCTTTTCTCACGCGTCTCGGGGCCTGCGCTATTAAGATGTCATTTTGCATCTCGTTTCTCACGCTTGTTTAAGAAAATCTAAGTAATTATTATATTTCCTTCCGGAAAGTTTTCTCTTTCCGAAGGGGGAAGGTAAAAAAAAACACGCTAGCGTGTAGAAGATCTACGTGTTATTACATAATTCTAATATTACAGTATAAATTATGTTGCAATAATATTGTTGTTATCACAAGAATACGATACATGTTTCCGGCGTGAGACGCGTTATACTTGATCTCGCGCGATCTTTAATTCATATCTGATATGCACAGTATCTTAATAGCATCATCTTCAACATCTGCAGCTCCATTTTCGGACTATATTAACGGGCTTCGGGTGCATCATATTGTTCGCCTGTTTCTCTGGCCGCATGCCATTTATAACACGGAAACTATGTATTCGCGGATTCCTCGCACGTTTCACTCGGAAAAGGTTTAATTCCGACGGTGCGTTCCTAACGCGTTTAATCTTACAACAATGCATTATCCGCCGTGAGGTCGGCTTGCAGCTTCTGCGAAGACCTCTGCGTGGCATCGATGTCGTTTGCATAAAGCGGTATTTGCATAGAACACGCATGACGGAGTCGCGCGATTATGAGAATGCCAACGGTGAGCGTAACAACGCTATCACCGCGATGGCGATATATAATACCGCTGATACTGCGCTAATGCGTTAACTTAATCGTTTCTGCAAATATCGTCCTTAATCTTCAGCATGGGAGTGGTCGCGCGGGACTAATCTCGTCTCGCCGTCGTGTTCGTACGTCTGGCAGTTTTACGAGATACCGTCATTAAATCGAAGAACTTGACTAGTTGCAGAAATAGCTCGCATACGCTCTCGCGTCGTCGATTATGTCGATCGGTCCAAAGGGGCGATAACGAAGTAACAAGTTGTTTTATGCAAATAAGCGTGCAGGCAATTGTTAGAATCGTCTGCGAGAAATCGGACCCCGGTCGTCTCCGTTAAGTCACCGGTATTTATTTCAGCGATCAGCTGATCGATAAACGAGTGCGAAAGAACAATCTCGTTAATTAATTTCAAGAGAAATAATTCCGATTATCGCCGATGCAGAAATTTATGTTTTAAATTTGAAAAATTTTTAATGAAAGTAATTCATCGGCAGAGATTTTATCTGAATAGTCTACTATCTTTCAAGAAACGGGAAGGTCGACGAGTTAAATTTTAATCGGAGTTTGAAGCGAGTTTCTGAAAAAAGCGGCATTGACTGAATTGAAAAGTCGCCGGACGATGACTCAACAGGATAATTATTACGATCCACGTTCCGCACGATTGCGACCGTGTATCTCCACACGAGCACCCGCGTCGCGCACGAGGTGTTGCCTTATTTAACATTGGCTTTCGAAACAATCGATAAGGCCCGCCTCAGGAATTCTCTCGCGGAGTACGTCACGCACCTTCCACGAATGATAAACCCGGAGCGGCGCAGCGCGCGGTCTCAGAAGAGGAGGCACACCTACGACGAAATCGTACGTGGACAAACAGACGGCGCGGTGAAACGTGCTGTGCCTTTCCTCTCGTGTCATCGGGGGATACGCGGAAAAGTCAATGCCATTCGCGCGAACGTGCGCGAGAAACCGGCCCGGTCGTCCCGTGCGAGAAACTCGCTTGAAACTCCGATTAAAATTTAACTCGTCGACATTTCCGTTTCTCGAAAGATAGTAGACTATTCAGATAAAATCTCTGCCGATGAATCGCTTTCATTAAAAAATTTTAAAACATAAATTTCTGCATCGGCGATAATCGGAATTATTTCTCTTGAAATTAATTAACGAGATCGTTTGCGAAATTGTCGACGAAAGACCAGCTTGTGGTAAAGGAGCTCATTAAAAAATGAATCGTGCAGGATTTCCAGAAATGAATTTCACATTTGTTTGCCGTTTAGCTTCGCGTGATGCGTTACGTCATGTGGTTGTTGCAGCACGGCTTTAATTTCTGACCTAGCGAAACTCGGTCTGGGACAACCGATCGGCGGCGTTTCGAAATCGAAACATGCTCCGGCGATATGTGAAAAATGTATGCCGCAATTGTTTCGCTGCAGTAATTACAGCAATTTCGGTGTGCTTGATTCAATCGTTCATTCAATGGTAAATTTCAATCAGCGCGCAGTTATTCCTCAAAATGTAATTATCGCGTAGATGAATTTTCGATTCGCGCCGTAGCTACATATTTCGAAAGATGATTCTCTTACATAAGAATAGACTCAGCAGCGATGATCAATAAATCTCTGCCGTGAAGGAATATCTCGCGTCATCTTTAAAGACTTTAAACAATTTATTATCGACGAAGAATTATCGATTTACGATCCACCTGTTGCAGCCCGATAAGCTTCCTGAAAATTACATCAAGTTCTCATCTTTTCAACACAATTACAGATTTAATCGAAAATACAAGCTCATGTAAATCTTTAACGATGAGAGAGAGAGAGAGAGAGAGAGAGAGAGAGAGAAACGCTCGAAAGTTTTCTTATGGAATTAATGTACACATTTTCTAATTTAATCCTTCCCACGCGCCTGTCCTGAGGAAAAATTCAATGCCAGGGAGAGATAACCGCATTATGGAAAAGCATTTTTTTAACCCTGGTCTTCACTCGATCGATTATATCACGTATAAAGGGACAGCATAAAGGAAGATAAACCACTCGAGCCACTTTACATGATAAAACGTCAATGTTGTCAATGTCGCGTCGTCTACTGCGAGCAGACCTTCGCGAAACCTTCCGGTTATTATCGATCATGTCGTCTACCTCTCGTTATATATTCCCTATTCTATATTCCCTTTTCATCATACGAAGTGACACATAAAGCGTCATACGCATTATTGTTTGGTAATTCGAGTCTCGTCGCAGGAAAATCTTCGCGGAAAAAATACTCGAAATATTTCCAATGCGAACAGCATACTTATTCACGTCGCCCCCACGCCTCAGACACGTGGTGTATTATCATCAATCTCTAAAAGAAGATACACATTATCGAGCTAAACCTCGAGCCGAACGTCGATCACGAGCCGAACATATGTTCAAATTATCGAATCGAAACTTGTTAAAAAATTCGACACCTGCAGTGAAGAAGTTCGGCTCGAAGCTCGTCTCTAGGTTTAGCTCGCTCGATTATATGAATGGATCTTCCTTAATAATTCAAGAATTTTACGAGTAAATGTAATTTTCAAGAAACTTATCAATCTATACGTGTTACTTGTAGAGAAATTTATTTCAATCTAGCTAAAAAATGCGTTTTTACCCTAAAATGTTGATGTGAAATAAAAATATAATTAAATATATTAGCTTTCAATTTCGAATTTCCCAGTATTTCAAGAAGTTTCCCTTCGCTTAAACAAAATTTTACACATAGTATTACATAATCAAGGTGACGAAAGAGGAGTTTCAAAGAAAAAAAATGTTTGTTTAAAAAGCTTTTGAGATGCATCACAACAAAACTAACAGCAGAGCTGAGAATCTATTTTTTACTCCAAAATTCTGAGAGTACGTTAAACAAAAATATATTACGCTAGAAATAGCTTCTAACAATTTTAAATTTTCCATGAATATTTCATAAGATACTCCACTTTTTTACACACAATACTATAAAATTAAATTACATAAAGTAAACCTGCAACAATTTCAAAGGAAACAAACTTTCGCTTAAATGCTACAGCATCTCCGAGATGCATCGCAACAATATTAATATCAGTGGGCTGACAACTATTCCAGAGTTATATAGTTGCGAGGTTGCGCAAAACTTCTTCGCGGCAATCAGAATCGCAGAATCAGAAGGCAAACGGACAAAGTTTTAATTAAAATTCCCGGAATTAGCCAAAATGGAGATCTACTATCAAGGTACGTGTTTGAGAGAGTTCAGAGACGCGCGCTTTCGGGCTGATTACGTTCGCGCGGCGCGCCGTACACATCGCGTGCGAGTATCATTCGCTTACGTCGGATATTATTACTTTCCGGGGATTCCGGGATCTAGTTTACGATCCCGGCGCGATCTTAAGACGATCATTTCGTCGACCGGACGCCGCGTCGCCGTGCCACGACAGGATACCGAGACTAATCAATTTCTGCCGCGCGCGGAGCGTCCGCGCTCCGCCTGTATAACGGAGCTTTAAACGTCGTATATTATATGCGGGGTCCCCTACGGATTAATCGCGCCGCAACTGTGGCGAAATTGAAACGACGTGAAATAATTTAGCCGTGAGAAGCTGCTGAATTCCGGCAACCCGCATCTACACACGCGCGGCGTATATACAATTCGCTCAAATATCATCTTTTTCCAGATTTCCTTTGCGAAATGCCACGCGAAACTTCGGAACAGCTCTGGAAAATCCAGAGCCGGTCATATTGAAACCGGTTTGCTTCCGGCGAGTTCAATTCTCCTTGTCGTATAAATACGGACGGAAGAAAATTACGCCATATTTTCCGCTCTGAGATCATCCCTTTAACAACGTCACATCATTATATATTATATTGTTCAGAATCTTTTATTATTAATACGGGGGGAGCGTCGGGGAGGGGGGAGGGAGGGGAAATGGAGCGGAGCGAAGTACGTGAGCGAAACAAAACAACATTTTTCACCGCAAAGTGACGCCGTGACAGATGAATGAGCTGTGCGGCCGTCGGGTCTCGAAACGCAAACTTCGCGCTTCGACATCGCGCGTTCCAGCGTCAAGGACTTTCGAAATGCCGAAGGAGAGAAGGACGACGTGCCCCATGACGCCCCCGTCAGCGTCAGAGGCCCGCTTCACCGCGCCCGCCGCGGGAGGGGGGGAGGGGGGGAAGGGGGGGGGAGGATGCGCTCGATCGCCACCGGTGAGTAGCGCGATCGCGCAAAAATCGTCACGGGCGAAAGCGAAGGGGAGAGACCGTTCGGCGCCGAGCGGATTCCCTGCGGAGATTTGAACTCGGCCGAAATTCCACCGGCGAGCCACCTCCGGCGGCTCCGGCCTAAACGCACGTCGCCGCTGCCGCGGCCGCTTACCTGGTTCAGCGTAGTCGGGATGATGTCAGGTGTCTGCGGCAGCATCGTGGCGGGCGTTCCTGCGTGCCTTGATGCCGAGGTACCTCGAATCAGAGCGGTCTGCCGGCACGCGTGGCCGGTGACATAATAGAGATCGGCGACGACGACGGGTGGCCGCGGAAAGAAAACACCTTGACGCGCGTACACACTGTGAGATCGATCACGAGCCGCACTCCGACCGTCCTGCTCTCGCTCTCTCTCTCTCTCTCTCTAGCCTTCTCGCCGCCCTTTCTCTCTACTCGTTCGTTGAGTTTTCGTCACTATACCGATACCGAACTCACTCGCGGCACTCGCCGAAAACACCGCGGCGTTACACCGACGCTCTCGGGCGCGCACACAACGTGCGCGTCCCGGCGGCACGCGAGGTCGGAGATCCTGGCGAGAAATCTTTCCCTACGGGTCGCGTAGAAAAGCGCCGGGGCGACAGCGAGACGCGGAAACGTATACCCACACTCCGAGAGTATGCGCGGGACTGACGGGTCCGGGCGGTGTAGCTGCGCGACCGAGGGCCGCCGAGTGCCGCCGAGCGCCGCCGAGCGCCGCCGGGGACGGCCGAACGGGCATGTCATCCCCCTCGAGTGTACGCGTACCCGCCAACGCGGCGTTTCGGAAACGGTTCTCTTCCTTTCTTCCGTTTTGCATATTTAACCTGGGACAGTTTAAAGAATAAATGCGAGGGGTACAAAATTACGAACAGAAGTCTTGAATAATCTAACACGAATTATAGACCAATTAATACGGGCTTAAGGTAAACTGGAAAGACTACGCACAATATACACGCCAACATATTTTTACGTCAATTCATAAGTCTTAAATGAGCATTGAACTATATCGATAAAGATGACGATACAGCAGGATTCTGTAACAACGATTGATGAGATTTTTTTTTTGTGAAACATGTCTTATTATTGTTAGACGAAATAATATCTTGAAGATTTTTTTGTGATCTCCCATATTTTTCTTTCAAACCGCAATTTTAGTCGCAAATCATAAAAAGGAATTGAGAACGAAAAATAATCTAATTACATTTATCGATGACTTGATTATTTCCCAACGTTATCCTATCATTAATTTATTCAAGAAGTTCTAACCGAATAATCTGTCGGTCTATGAATTTAATTTATTCAAGAAGTTCTAATCGAATAGTTCTGCATTTACTTAAATACACTTTCTTTAATTTTAAAGAAGATACTCTCGAAAGAATGCAAAGATCGAATTAAATAATTGCCCCAAAAAGTTAAAAACATGCAATTCTAGTTATTTGTCGTAAAAATACACTTAAAATTTATATTTATATATACATAAATATATCATATTTATTATATATATTTATTATATATAATATATTATATATATATATATATGTATATATATATAATGTATATATTTCAAATATAAATATTCGATTAAGAATTTGTAACAATCAATTTTTCATGATTTGGTTTTGTGATACAATATACGCAGTAACGAATGAATGAAGATAATACGTTCGCAGAGATTCCTCACATTTTCTTTGCAAATTAAGTCTCTGTACACGCGACGCCCTCGTTTGTATTCGTCGTGTAACGGTTGCCGCGCAGGTAGCGTAATGGTCGCATCTAAAGCTGTCTTGCAAATGACAAATTCCTTTTTCCCCCGATTCCATCTTCACCGAGAAAACCGTTCTAACTGTGTGTGTAATATACGCAACATTCTTGCATCTCTTCCACCTCTTCTTGACCACATTTTTCAGTCAGCTGTTTGCACTATGCTGCTCGTTTCCGAAATATCTAGCCCAAGGTGTTTTTAAATAAAACATTCCGGCTATTTCTGATCAACATGTGCGCGGAAATGTTTTATCAAGCGTCTACTACATGTTCACAACATTGTCCATACATTGCTTTTAATATAGTAAAGAAAAATGAATAACATTCTTGAAAATTGATCTGTTTTCTTTTCTTTGTTAAGCTTTTTTTTCTAAAGGTTTTTCTAAATTTTTTCTGTTTAATTTTAAAAGATATTTTATGTATAATATTATATAATTTTTGATATAATTTTATGTATAATATTTCATTTATAATATTGGTTAAAATATTGAATACATATACGAATTATCTATCTTTCTAAACTGTCTTAAATATTTTTAACAATAAATATACGAAGAAGAAAAAAAGGAAAATGGAACATTTTTTTTGTTTACATGAATGTGTGGGAAGAAGAATGCAAAGACGGGGATAAAGACGGGAGCGCCAGGAAAAAGTGAAACAAAAGGACGCGGTTAAAAATAGTGGACCGGTTACGTCAACCGGTCCCTCCAAGGACCATGGCCCATTATATTATTTTCTTTTCCACGCTGTCTCCGCAGAATGCCTCGAAATGCCAGAAACTGAGGCGGGAATAACGATAACGTATATATCTCACGGCATCGCGCCGAGCATTCATATTCGTCGAACAGTTGGAAAAATTTATGAGAACATCGGACAGTAAATCGTTGGAGTGTGTTGTCACCTCTGTAAATTCTCACGCGGGATTTTGCATGCGTTAATTTACGTATTGAATTTTAAATACAATTTAAATTCTGCAATTACCGATTATCATTAAGAGCCGTTAAATAGTAGGGTTAATTTAAATTGCGACGAAGTGTTGTGTATTGTAAAATAAATTTCACGATGCCTGCACGGAATACATTGTAAAATTAAAATAAGCATTTGTTACACAATAACGTCACGCACAAATTACTGTGCGTTAAATTAATTATATTAAAAGTTTAAGCTTGCTCAATAACGATAATATATTCATTAACTGTAGAAAATATTTACATCATTTCATTATTAAATCGCGACCATTATAATATTCATGAGGTATTGTATAACAAACAGTATCGTTGAACGAACAGTAATAATAATAAGCAGTTATGTTAAAACAAGATTACTGAAAAAGAGAGAAGGTAAATTTTGGCTACAGGTGTTAAAAATTGACTAACGGCGGGACGGAATTTCCACATGCCACACCTGTTTAAAGTAGCGATAAGCAAACTATACGTATAAGCTACGTCACACGAGACGTGAGTCACAGTGAATGAATCTCCATTATAATGTCAATGTCAGATGACGTCTCCGTGATGTTTCTTACCGGAATGAGTCGATGCTTTCCACTAACGACAGAATCTGCGAATTCAGTGACGCAATATTATAAGACCGCAATAGGTATACATAAATACTGATGCCATATTAGTCAGTTCTCTTTCTTAAGCGATGTCTACAATAAGACTTAAGACTTAAGAAAATTAATCAATCATAGTCGATTATTCATCTTACGTGAGAAAAATAATCGATTGTGATTGATTAATTTTTTTAAATCTTAAATCTCATTGTAGACACGCTTTACTCACAATTTAACTTCGCTTCGTTCTACGTTTATTAAAAATTGTAAATTCATCGATCGTCAAAAATAAAGCTAAACGTGAATAATACCCATTCATAAAACGTTGCTCATTGAGTCAATGTTTACGTTAATATTTAATGCAATGAATCTTGCGGTTTTACAAATCGATACAGTAAGAATGCGTTTTTCTCCTTATGTATCTTGTTTTATTTTCTTATCTGATAAGAATATTTGCATCTGAAAGGTAGCACACCTAATAATCTCTTAGCAATATGCTTCTTTGTAGATTGCAACACAAAAACTACTTATGCGCTTATCAATCTCGATATGTTATTACGTACGTAGGTAGAAAGATCAGATAAAAACATTTTACATGCATATGTATGTATGTACATATATTCTATTTAAAGGTAACTAATAACTTTAGAAAGGTACTTTAGAAGCATATATGCAAATATGTGCAAATAGACTATTTTTATTACATGATAAAGAATTATTTTTATCTCGTGATATTTTTATTGCATGATAAAGAATTATTTTTATCTCAAGCAGCACATTTATATCACATTGCACGATACACATATCTATATTATTTCTATTTATATATAATTTTTTACATACAATTATTACATGTATGTAGATCTCATATTCTTACTTTGTTTCATCTTTTAGTTTATTTACATATGTATTGCTTTATTTTATAAATGCGATACGATTTGCCGAATTTGACAATGAGTTGAAATTTTCATTTCGAAAATCCACAGAGGGTTCTAACTTATATCCTAACTCACATGCATAAACCAATGGCTTAAATTAAAATCGCGGGCTACTTTCCTCGCGCAACTTTCTATGACCTACATCTCGCGTACTGCCAACGAGATCGCCTTTATTCGCATCGTCGAACGTTCAACTTCCGGAATAATTCACAGTCGACTTCCACAGATGAGTGATTCTAAAATCAGTCCTCCATTTGCACGTCTGTGAGTCGCAGCAATTGTGAATTACAGTTGAATGGGGGATAAACCGTAAGGTCGATCTTGTTGCTATACGACGAGCAATTCCGTTATTATTGTAATAAACGCAAGGAAATGTTTTAAAAGAATAAAATTAAATTAAATAAATATTTTGCTACCTTCCGAAAATGCCACACGATGTAATATAATAGATTTTAACGTGCGAGCGATACAGCTATATATATTGCAAATAGTAGAAAGCAATGACTCTTAAGAATCGTGCTATATATATTACACCGGCGGTCTTCTGGCAATTCAGATCAAATAAATAAACGAATAAATATTCAGAAAGCGACGGCGTCGTGAGAGGCCCCCGAAGTGCATCCATAAAACATGGTCGTTCCCGGCGGAGGAAGACAGAAGACGAAGGAGGAACCCAACGAGGGTCTGAAAGAAACTGAGGATCCTTCCTGCCGCATGTTTTTTCCGCAGAAGGGAAACTCTTAGACGGGCGAGGGATCGTTTTCACGGAGGGTGCGAGGACGGGTGTGGTAGCGTGTGAGGAAAAAGAAAGCAGAAGCGGATCTTTGAAAAACGACCGCGTCGCGCGGATGAGCTTCGCTTTGCCGCGGAGCTCTGAAATGACCTCGGTCAATGTCGGAGGTCGTTGCCCGACGTCGCGGTCGACGCCGAGTATCGCTTTTCTTTACGCAAACGCAATTAAAAGTCGCCGCGTCGCGCCATGAAAATTCATAACTTAACGTTTTCACAAGTTTTCGAATTACAAATCCCGCAGTAGTAAAGTTTGAATCGAGACGAAATCGAAATTTAATTTAATGTCGGAGTCAGATTCGTTAATCAATTGTCCCCTATAATTTTAGATTTAAATAAAATCTAATAAGATAAAATAAAGTCGTAATAATTACCAAATATATTAAAAGCACAAGTATTTATCTACTGTAAAGCATGTCGTGTTTATAAAAGAGAGATGTTTCGAGATATTACGTGCAAGTAATTTGAATAAATTACAAAAGTTAGAAAATTAAATGTATTTGCAGTTTACGAACATACACGACCCTCTGACTTTAATATAAAGTGTATCTGTTGACACGTGAGTCATTCT